ATTACATACATTTGCCTCCTTGCACAACTCCCCCTGAATATCATCCCTCCCAGGATTTAGGGTCCCCTTGTCTTGTTGGTCTATCACAAGCAGTTCAAGGGGCATCAGGTGGAAAGAGGGTTTGGAAGACTCCCATCCCCTCAAGTTGTCCTGCCAGCAATTTTGGTCTCTGCCCTAGCTCTAAAAACAGCGCAGCTCCTATGAGAAATGGCCCCAGCCCAAAAGAAGAAAAATTAACCAGAGACTTCAGGGAAAGCCATCTTTAGCTGCTTAGATACTGGTGATGCAGACACTACTTCTCCCTACCCTGGTACTGATTATTGGACCCTCTCCCTTCAGGCAAGCACAACATCTAACCTCCCCTGCTCTCCTGCCCTTACTGCTGGGCCTCACACTGGTAATGCAGAACTACCACGTTTCCTATCCAGATCCTTTACTCAGATTCAAATTCAGGACTAAATGTAGGGTGGGGCTTTTGTAGCACATCTACAAAACCAGGCAGTCTAGAAAGACATTGGATGAAGGCAGAAGGAACTTTCATGTGGCTAGCCATAGCAGCAGGAGCAATTCACTGCGATGGCCTGAAGTTATCATATCCTGTCATGAGTGAGAACTCAGTCAGATGTCTCTTCTGAACAGGAGGGAAAGCCGTTTCTGAGCTGCCCTGGGCCTGGCAGGCTGTTTCTACCTCCTGCAGAGGGTCAGGACCAGATAGAAATGAGAAGATGCAGTAGCAGAAAAGGGAAGCTCCCAGTTAAGGCAGGAGGGTTCCCTGTGCAGATGGAGCTTGATGCAAGACTTGGCCCTGTAAGATCACTTGTAGGAACATTACATTGAATCTAACTGAAACAAGCAGCTTGAGATGCTGTCAGGTATGGACAAACAAGGCCTTGAATAAGTAAGCAGGAGCAGACTTTAATGCAGCCCAGCAGGAACTCATTCTCATGAAAAGATGTCCCTCCATCCAAGGGAGAAAGCCCCTCTCTGCTGCCTGTGCAGGAAACCAGCCCAGGGCCATAGGATAAAGAAATTTAAAAGAGCTGGAAGGCACTTGCTGTCATAAGAGGGTGACCCTGGTATGTTTGGTCAAAGGCAGGAAATCCAGATGTGCACAGGGAAGCGGTGAGATTGGCACTCTGTTGTCTATTTTGCCTGACTTTCATGCCCAAGATCAGCATGGCAGGAGGTGAGATTAGGTACTTTTTTGCAAAACAGGCTGTTGACTGGAACCAACATTAGCTTTATTTTGCCCAGTCCTCCCTCAGCCTACGACTGTGCTTACCGGATGTGAAGTTTAGAGACACAAATGTTCATGTGGTCACAGGTCAGTGGATGTAGCCACTGTTGGTGAGCAAACAGGCGCCTGCCCATCGGGCCCACTGGAACAGGCAGAACTAGAGCTGGGTGAGCAGCTACCTGGCAACTGGGAGCTCTGGGTTTATGGGAGCACAATTTCCATCACTTGGGACAGCAGATCAGCTCTATCAAGCTGTGTCATTTTTATAGACAAGTCAACAAAAGCCTATTGGTAACTGCCAGTAATTAGCTGGCAAAGAGTTTGTCAGTACAAGTACCCGACTGCAAATAATTCTTGGTCTGCACTCAGATTATTTTCCAGTAACATGTCTCTCCAAGAGTAGTTCCGAGCTGTTGCTTCTGGCAACCACATTGGGCTGTGT